TTCTTATAGAATGTGGCCTGTGTAGAATCCATAATTTCAAACAGTTCCAAGATTGGGCTACTAGTTCAAAAGTCCTTTGAATTTTCTTTCGAAATTGTTTTGTAACTGTTCAAATAACACCAGAAAAATTAAAAATCAAATCGGCAAATTTCGGTTTTCCCGGCATATGTCATCGAAATTTTCTGGTTTTCTTTAAAGCATCTTTGTTGATTTGACCATCTTCGTATCTTCTATAGTTTCAGAGATCGCACTGATGGACATCTTTATCTTGGATACAGTGTTAGTGGCATAAATAAGTGGCGCAAAGAAAAGCCAGCAAAAGCCATTGCTGTAGCTGGATTCATTGTCAATCTGTACAGTTTATGAATCCAACCTATTAACCCTCCCCCCGCTCATACTACTCCAAATAAACATTAGAAGCTATATTTATTTTCCATTATTTACTTTTTATGTTAAAAATTGATTATGGGTCGATTTGCGCTGCTTGGATTCCCCACCGATTGGATTTACCTACCATTTTAAAAGTAGAGAAAATGTATAACATTTAATTTGCAATATGTAAATCCTATCGTTCGGCCACCTCACAATAAATGTTTAAACGAGATCTAAAATATGAACGTTTGTGATAGGTAGTAAAGTTATCAGTGGTAACATGAAAGCTAGAAACAGGTTTGCTTCATATTTGACCATGACTTTAGTAAAGCACATTTTGACATTTAAAAGATCTCATTGCAGGCCAAAATTCAAAAATGTTACCACGCGATGGAGAAGTAACATTTTCTATCCTGTGAAATAAGATTCCGCATCTATTTCATGACTCGATGCGGTTGCCACAAAAAGAAAACTGAAAAGTATGGGTAGTATAGTAAAACGATTTACGTAAGCCCATTTTAAACAAGTGCTGTTCCATATTTAAATTCGACAATTTGATTTCCAAAACTTTACTGTTGACATCAAGATAAAGAGTTTAAAGTTTTCTCATTCAAATCAGTGAAGATTGCGATTTCACAACTTTTGATCAAAATGCACGTGGTTATAGAAAATCCATAGAAGGTACCGAAACTGATAAACTAGAAATGATGTAAAAAATATCCCTTCATACAGGCTGAAAGTAAGTTAAAAACTAGCAACAAAATCCCCCGTCTGCCAATCGTAAATGGCAGCATTAACTTGGAGGCGGCGCTGAAAAAGTAACTATTTTGAGCATCAACACGATGCCATTATATATGTTTGAAATAGTGGCAAAAACCGAATTTTTTTATGTATGACCTTTATATGTACATCATGGTTCAGAAGTGTTTTTTCCCTACACTGAAGGGCGTCTGTCGCCCCCAACGCTGCACTTGGAGTCGTCTGCCATAGAATCCTTGAAAACTGTGGGAAAAATAGCATTTCTTGATATAAATCTTTTCCGTGGCTCTTACGAAGTTGATGCCCAACACTGAAAATAGACACTTTATCTTCGCCGCCTCCATTTACAACTGATGGGAGACGCGCGTTTTTGTTACTATAGTTTTCAACGTAGGTACTTTCAGCCTGTATTATCGAATATTTTGTCGCTTATGGATGTACGCTACCTCCTGGTCTAAATGCATTATAAAAAAAAGTAGGCACAAAATTACATGCAGAAGTTGGTGGTGTATGATATTCTACCAAGAAGATCACGCTTCATGTCGTTTGCGCTCACAGGCCAGTACTTCTCAATGTCAGTAACTACAACGTTTCTACCTACTTCAGCTTTGTTTTAAAGGGTACCAACAAAACCAACTTTCTAATATGTAACGACAGTTAGCGTTCGTAAATGAAAGTGTCGAAAACTACTGGCGCGCGGTTCCACTTTACTGCACTGCACCATCGTATTATCACACTTTTGTTCGTGGTTGTCAATAGAATGGAGAAGGGTGAAGATTTTCTCAGTGCCACAGATAACAAGGTTGCGATGTCAGAGCCAAGGTAGATTTTTATCATCAGATTTAATTTTTGCATAACCACTAACAATTCCTACATTATGAAAGGTCAAGACTGAATGAGGAAATTGCTTTTATTTTCTCTTAAACAAATATCGACCTTGCAATTGAACGGGAACTTCGTTCATTACCTTGTATCTTTGAACACAAATTATTAATTACTTAATATTCAAAGCTTACATTTTAATTGTGTATGTGCATTAATTCCCGAGTCGTCAGTTTGGTCAGATATATTGAGTAGGTATTTTGATACTTTCACCTGAGATATATGAGATGAGAAAGAGTACAAATGAGTGCTTTATCTACTGAAATATTTAAAACGCACGAGTTGATGAGCATTACCAGAGCATGATGCTAGTAGAGGCCTATGCTTAATAAAGAATGTTACAATGACGAACATTTACCATACCTACAAACACATTCTTATAAATTCCTTTGAATCAGATATGCAATTATGAGTACAATATTGAAACCTGCCTCACTGCAGGTTCTCATGGGATCTGAGCTTGCAAGAAGCATATAGTGATACAAAATCTATGTAATTGATGAGAGTATACAATGGCTGGACGACTGGACCCCTTTGAAGAATCATAACGATAGAACCACAACGATAGCAGATTTCCCCGAGATACTATTTTGTAAAACTATGATATGATTACTAAACGGGGAGGAAGTATCTACGAAACCATGTAGGATGTAGGCATCAATTCCAAAATTTGAACGTGTTGCGTTATCAGATATGGGATTATGAAAAAGTTGCTAATAAACCTGCAAATATAATAATGGCCACACTGAGTGCACTAGAATTTATCCGATACCTACCATTGTTTAAATACTTTAAGGTATTTAAACAATGCCGATACCTACGTGAAGACTTGAATTCTTATTGCTTATACCAAACTCTTTGCTTATACCAAACTCATTATAAATGCAAATGTATTATTATTTAACTGCCCGTAACCTGCTTCCTGTATCCATCTGCACCTTAATTTATATCTACAAAATGCGTCACCATATGGATTAGTTTCTTAAAATGGAGTAAAATTGTTTTATAAACGAGGTTTCATGTACGTAAGTGTGGACAAGGCCTGCACAGGGCGGTTCAAATTCGTGACTCACGATTGGGATCATCCGTAAAGGTGAGGGAAAAGTTACTCCTTTTTGTAATTAAAAAACGCATATCTTTGAAAATAACTGTGATATAACCGAAAAACTGAAAATGTCAAATTTAGTTTTCAATTTGAGTCTTCTGTACCCACTGTACCCAATGTAAATTACCATAACAGCGCCCGCCATATAAACTCAAGTTGTTTTTCAAAAAAAATTGTTGTAAGAACTATTTTATAAATTTAGACCTTCATCTACAAAATGTTGGGACTATTTTTTTTTAAGTTTATAGCAACTTAATACCGACTGTTTAAAGATTAGATGTTTTGTACCGATTATTGCGCTAATCTGATTTATTTTTTTACTCTCGATCAAGACGATTTATGGGAAAAATAAACAAACACTTTCCTAGATAAATAAAGTCTGTAGGTATCTTGGCGGGCGGTAAATCAACTATTCGAGTGTAGCAAGTGGCGCTGCGCCTACACAGTGTCGGCGGAAACTAACTAAGGACCAAGACAGGAGTTGAGGTTGAGACAGCAAGAATATCATCTTGTATACCTATACACTATAATGTAAAAGAGTTGCGTTTAGGTAAAAGAAGACTCTTTAACGGTCGGAAATGGACGATTCCCAGTGGCATCTTATATGGGCACCTTTTTTCGGAGAATCTGAATCTGTTATCAGAATTTCCATAAACACGCTAGAGGTAGAAGCTACAGGCTACTATCTTCTTATTTCTGATGGACGCCATGTTGGTTTTTTGCAGAATGAGATAAGACTATAAGAGGGCAGGAAAAGTCATATTGATTCAGCAAGATCTAGTTACCAGTCTGCTGTTTTGTTGAAAAATGAATGATAAACATTAGATTTTGAAATGTTTCTTGAAAATTATAGAGTGTGACGTCATTGTTTTCCTTTTTGTCCTCTTTTAAGTATCTCATTCCGTAAAAGCGTAGGTATAGAGAAATAAGAAGGTATTTTAAACTTAATCCAAAGTGTGTGTAGGTACAGGAATAAAAATTAGAACATAACGAGGTGTGAGTCTACTGCCGGTATAACCGGAAGCTTATATCATTTAAAATATTTTAACAGAACCACCGAGAAAGTACCCATATTTTCTCAAACTTTGTCTATTTCGGAAAATTTTACTAAATATACGACAATAATCTTGGAATGGTTACTTAAATTATAGTGGTTGAAGACCCTCGATCGTATTAATCAAAATAGATCCTCTACGCCACTACTAAAAATTTTTCTAACACAATTAATTTTGCCCACTGTTAGCTCTGTAATAAAATTTAAATACTTACCCCTTACTTTGCAGAAATTTCACCTTTTATCTCGTTTGTAAATCTAAAATATTGACGCTTTGATTTTACTGCATACTTACCTACGAATGAATGAATGCGAATTCCAAAATACTAAAATCAATAATTATCATAATTATCAATAATAATAATAATAAGGTCTTTATTAGATGACGATCTGAAGGGCGAAGTTCACCTAGGGGCAACATCGCCACCAAGTGTTCTTCCACTTAACCCATAACATAACTTCAGTTTAAATGTTTACAATTTCGATGGACGGGTGACAAACAGAGAGCACACACACACACAAAAAGACAATACTGTGAAAAAAAAAGTGAATTAATAAGTAACTTGAGAATGGGACACTCGTTCAAAAGAATGTGACGTAGTGCTGATTTAAACCTGGACACTGTAAGCTTTTTAATATTCGATGGAATGGCATTGTAGACAGTGGTAATGCTATATGAAAAAGATTTTTTGAACATCTCTGAACTATGAGAAGGGATAGTAATGAGATCCTTTCGTCTGATATTGACATTATGAACGTCAATTCTCCACAAATAGGTCCCTTTTGATTACGTCAAATAAGCATCCGCTGCAAACTCTGAAGGATAACGGACAAATGCAATTCAAAACAATTAAGTAGCTTACAGACATCGTTGGAATAGGTACTTTTCTTTAGGTTACAAATAGTACGGCCCTTCCTTGAAAAAGGCTCCCTCCAAAAAAAACTTGGAAACTGGATCGGTAGAATCCTAGAGACGAGGTCTGGTATGAAAATTTTCAGGATAATGAAGCTTATATTAACCTCGAGGGCGTTAGAAAACTTAAACCAAATTCTCGAAGATGTCAATCGAGTTGTTATTGTTATTGCACAAGAATAAAAAAAAACAAATTGCCACTTTAAATACCAATTACGCGTCTCAGATTGAACAACGACCAAGTTTTGTTTATAGTACGACTTCTTCGAAATGAGGTCACCGAACGTAAAGGTAAAGGGGTTCATTTCTTGATAATTCAACGAATGCATTAGAATTCCAGTCTCTGAGAATTTCACTGGTCAATTCAGGAGGTTTCAGTGTATCCATGAATTTCCGAAAACTTCAGTTGCGTTTCCACGAATCTTGAAGGATTTCTTTCGTAAATTGTCTGGTATACGAAAATTGGGAAGCGGATCACTAAAGCAGTTTAAAACACAAATGCGACGTTTCCTATCGGTTAACGTAATTTAGGTAGAATGAGTGAAAATGTTATCGTCAACTGCATGTTGGTTAGTTATGACGTTGAAATTTTATTTAAACTGACATTATATATTGAATAAATGAGTGCATTGATTTCCTTGAAGCATATCTACTACAAAACCATCAAAAACGTATGATAATTTACGTTTTCTTTATTGTATTTCAGTGAAAAGTCATTCCCAGCCTGGATGATATGGAAAAGACGCAGATACATCCTTGCAGTTTTGGCATTTTTTGGATTCTTCAATATATATGCCCTGAGAGCTAACCTTAGTATAGCCATTGTGGATATGACCGCTCAAAAAGAATCTGTTTTGGAAAATGGAACCATAATACATGTATAAATATCACAGTTGCCAAAAATTAAAAAAAAATCTTATTAACAAAGTGTTTCAGGTGCGAGACTTCGATTGGGATTCCAAAAAACAGGGATTTGTCCTAAGCTCATTTTTCTACGGGTATATACTTACGCAAATGATAGGCGGATGGTTGGCGTCAAAGTTTGGCGGGAAACATATCTTTGGTCTTGGTATTGCATCAACGGCAGCACTGACAGTGATCACACCATTCGTGGCTAAACAAAGCTTTTACTTCTTACTAGCTGTAAGAATCGCCGAAGGAATATGCGAGGTACACCGCCAATTTTTACACAAAGAAACGGCCTACAATTTTTTTAGGGCGTCACTTATCCCTGTATACATGACGTATGGTCTAAATGGGCCCCACCGTTAGAAAGAAGTCGAATGGCGACGATCGGATTTTCTGGCAGTTTCTTTGGAACCGTTGTGTCGATGCCCGTTTGCGCTCTATTAGCCGACGTGTGGGGATGGGAATCTATATTTTACGTCACTGGTGTGTAACATATCTTCTAATTGCAAAGCTAAAATGATATTTTGCAGGCAGCGTGGGTTTGCTGTGGTTCCTATGCTGGTGGTTGCTCATCGCAGATTCTCCAGCAAACGATAAATATATTAGCCAATCTGAACTAAGATACATTCAAGGTTCCTTGGGTCAACAAGTTAATCGGAAGGTTAAACATCCATGGAAAAGTATTGCCACGTCCTTGCCAGTTTGGGCCATTGTAGTAGGACATTTTAGTGAAAATTGGGGATTTTACACTCTTTTGACACAACTGCCTACGTTCATGAAAGGTGGGTAGGTGGTGTGTTCCCACTGATGAAAATTACTTGGTTTTCAGATATACTACACTTTGAGTTAGGATCGACCGGCGTAATGGCCGCGATACCTTACCTCGCGATTTCCATAACTGTCCAACTCGCCGGTCAACTTGCTGATTGGCTAAGAGAAAGGAACGTCTTTACCACTACACAAGTTAGAAAAATCTTTAATTGTGGAGCATATATTTCGCAAACTGCATTTATGCTAGCAGCAGCTTATTTATTATCTCCAGTAGGAACGACGATATGTTTAACGTTTGCAGTTGGTTTGGGCGGATTTGCCTGGGCTGGCTTTGGGTAAACATTATTAGATTTAGACATTTTGCTATAATTATGCATATTTTTAGAGTGAACCACTTAGATATTGCCCCTCAACATGCAAGTATTCTAATGGGGATTAGCAACACTTTTGCCACCATACCAGGAATAATAAGTCCCGTTATAACAGGATATATAGTAACAACTCCCGTAAGTTGAACATGGTAATATAATTTGGGTTTAACCGAGACCATTTTTACAGTCGGAATATGAGTGGCAAATAGTTTTCTTTATCAGCAGTGGCGTTTATCTGTTTGGTTGCATATTCTACGGTGTATTTGCAAAAGGAGAAGTTCAGTCGTGGGCGAAAGAATCAGAAACCCTGAAATCAGAGTACGAGTTTAAAAAACGCGAAGGAATGGAAAATGCGGCCTACAGTTCGGATTAATGATAGGCACAAATAATGTAATTAATATTGTAGCTCAAATTCTGCTGTGATGTTTTAACAAAAATTGACGACTAGTGATAGAGAGAGAGCGTGCCAGAACCGTTAACGTTAGCCATTTGACTACATGCATGTTTGCTCAAAATTCTGAAGCCATTGGTTTCTATTGGAATCATTGAAGATTGTTTTACAAAGGATCACTCCTGAGATTTTTTCCATGTGTACATGTAATCTTAAAAACATAGGTATTTAAGTATACCTACATCAAAGGTATTACCAAACTTTGTCAGGGCCATGTTTGAGACGTTGATACTATTTCACTTTCAAGTGTTCTTTTTATTTTGAATACTAGATTTAACTATAATGAATCATATAACACAAAAAGTGTAAATATTTATTAGCCATTTTACACACTAAATTCAAATACTCAGTTTCATTATAAAGTAGAATAAATTACAAAATTTAATGCATAGGTAATTCTATGTAATTACAACCATATCACCTGGTCTATCAAAATGTGGGCTCAAAACATTTCGTTTTTGCGTATCTAATAGTCAGTCTCTCAAGGCCCACCTTGGTAAAAATTATCTGCACTTTGTATTACAAACTATTCAAAATTACATACACCAAAACTCCCTTTGTTCTTTGTACCATAGATAAAATATATATTTGTAAATAATGACTCTTATTAAATTGCTGTAACTACTGAAATCTCTAACATAAAAGAAGCATGACACAAAATTTAAATAATTAACAACAGTACTCAACAATAAACGCCTTACGCTCCCTTTTTAGTAGCCCATAACGGATCTAATAAGCTGAGCGGATCATCTGAAGGCTGTTCAGGAGCAGCCTGTACGTCAATTTTAGTAAAACTATCATCGAGAACAACCTTTTTCAGAACATCTAAAAAACCAGTGCACCTACTGACCAAAACTACACAAACAATACTCACGTTTCGCAATAAAATCCTTTAGAAAGTGTAACAAAACTTGATAGGCAAACTTGAAATGTTCGCGATCTCTAACGATGTTTTTCCTTGCGGATGATAATTTAGTCGCAAGCAGTGGTAGATCGGGTATCGACGATGGATTTACAAGTATTTCCGTAATGGCACTTAACAGCAAGCATAATAAGCCACTTCTACCAATTCCAGCGAAACAATGTAACACTATCGGTTTCGTGTGAACTGTTGGGTCGTTTAATATTTCCGTCAGAAAACTGCTGACACTTGATGTTAATGGGAATAAACTGAAACAAAGAATTTCAATGGACGATTGAAATGAGAGAGAGAGAGGTGTACCTGCTAGGCCATGCAGTGAATTGTATAAGACGAATCTTACGTAGTATACGTTCATCAGGCTCATTGATTAATATTTCTGTGTCCGTCCAATATGGTTTTACAATTTGATTCGTCATCGATATTAAGTAATTGCCAACTGTTAGCGGTTTGCTTACCGGCCAGTATTTATCATTCCCTATCTGTGAAAAATATATTCCGTTTTCATACAAATAGATCATGTCCTGACCAGCAAAGGAGAGAAATTACAGATTTCCCATATTATCTTACACTGTGGAATGTTACCAACCTCTTTGCTTCATTAGTAATGAAACCAGCCAAGAGATGGACATTCTAGATTTTGATAGGACTATAAAGTCTGGTACTGCCAGCATGTCAAAAATTATAGACAAACATATATTAGCGCCATCAACCCCCGTGATGGCGCTACGCGTTTGTTCTGTCTGTACAAAGCGCTAGCAACCCAGTGTCAAAGACCATATTATTACATACCTCATTGTCATTTAACAAACATAGAATTAATTCCGCATTTTCGTTGCACACCATTACCCAAAAATCGTGGAATGTGGACGATAATGGGCACTGCGTGACAATAAACTCAGGAGAATTCGGACTGATGTCCTACAAGCAGAGAAGTATTGTAAATAATGTCAGCGGCCAAATACAATACCTTGATGTAAGACGCGTTAATGTAGTCATCTTTTCTGCCGATCAATACCACCCTAGTTTGGTCATAGGGAAGTATATCGGGAAACCGATTTTTCATCGGGTAACACCTAGCAACCGAAATGCTTTTCCGGTGCTGCTCCGCATCTTGCCTATCCTGAATTTCTTTCCACTTCAGTTCGAGCGAGGTTGGCCCACTCAGCGTTTTTGTGGATAGTATGTCAACAAACTTTTCCAACTTTTCAACTTCTTGAGTAAACTGCTTAATTAAATCAGGATCTTGGAATGAGTTTCTTTCGATTGGTTTCTTTTGCATAACAGGTTTTAAGACAGGTTTACTTTCCCTTTCATCCAACTTAACGGCTGGCCTCACAGGTATCTGCTCAGGCGGCTTTGTGCTGGGAACGTCCTTCGTCGTATTTTCAATTTTGTTAGGTTGAGGGACTAGGGGTGCCTAAATTTCAATTAAAATCGTTATATATGGATAAAACGCAACGCCAGAAAAGGACGGAAAGCAATTCAAGAAAAAAAGAAGAACAATTTAACATTTGCCTATCATAAAAATATTGATAAAGTAGTCAATATGGTTCTATATTTTCCCCTACATGCATTTAGCACTTACACCTTCATTTTCAGACAGAAACCATCGACTGTGAATCTTTCAGACTGAACGTTTTATTGGAGAATGTAGTACTGCGCCAGATGCCCTCTGGGTGTACTACAATACCTCCCAGCCACACGTGCCATGAAACTCTCCCCAGACCCCCGGTTGTACATTTACCCCCAAGTCCTTTTACCACTTACTCCCGCATTTTTAGAAAGAGACCATCGAATGTGAATCTTTAAATCTGAACGTTTTGCTGGAGAGTGCAGGATGGGGGAGTCTGGGGGGGTATCCCACATACCACCCCACTACACAAAAATGTTATGATAGCTATAAGGTTTTAGTGTACTGGGGTGTTATGTGTGACTGGGGGTTATTCCATACCCCCAAATCCCCAGTGCTACATTTCCCCCCAAGTACTTAAACACTTAAACCCCCATTTTTAGAAAGAGACTATCAAATGTGAACCCGTAAGACTGAGCGTTTTGTTAGAGAATGTAGCACGGGGGGAGGGGGAGGGGGGTTATAACCACCAGCCACACATACCACCCTACATGAAAATCTTATGGTAGTTGTAAGATTTTTGTGTATTGGGGCGGTATGTGTGGTTGAGGACTATTCCATACCCCCCCCCCCCATGACTGGTTCTGCATTGCCCCCCCCAATTGCTAAAAGCACTTACACCCTCATTTTTAAAAAGAGGTCATCATGTGAAACCTTCAAGCTGCCTAAAGGTTTTGTGGGAGAATGTAGTTCTGGGGGGTATGTACATACCATGGAGGTACAATAAGTAGGGAGACGACACGACAGTTACCGCGCGACAGCAGATTAGCCATATTGGTGTGACACAAATGTCATCTAGGTATTGTCAGTAGCTGGCAGCTATTATTAGTTAATTGGTGCTTGACGATGAAGTATTTCCAAGTGTTATTGTTATTGGCGTGTCGTCCATGTTGGTATGACCATAGGCTCCGCCTACTGATACTAGTTCATAATGCACGTCACAAGCCTGGTGTCGTCTCCCCTTATCTTTTACCTCCATGGTACATACATAGCACCGTACCTGAAATCAGCACTACTTTTCTTGGTACTCAACGAGTTACCTTGAGGTACACTGTAATCAGTGCTTTTTGCAATTAAATCCTGCTCCATACTTTTACTACAAAAATCATAGGTATGATACAGAGTGAATAATAACTGCAATAGAAAAGTCAATACTGAGCAATAAAGAAAAAGGAAAATATATACCTACACTAAACAAACTAATACAGAAAAACACCTGAACAAGAAAGGGACAAAGTGCCAGAAACATACCTACCTGATTAATAGTAAAGTCCAATCCTGATAATAAATCAATGTTAGAAGCAACCTTTTTGGCCTGCGCCACCTGTTGCGGTTGTATTGATGGTAATGACTGCGCGGTAGTGGGTGGTAACTGATAGTTGGACGTGGTCTCTGCCGCGGTTATTGGCGTCACGCCAGTGTATTGCAGATGAGGTTGACTAGCCACACCATTAGCAACATAGTAATTATTGTGTGCATCATAGTTACCACCAAATTGACTACCATACTGTTGGTACACTCCGCCCGAGTACGCTGGATACACGTCGGTAGATGTGACTGAGTAATTTTGGTAAGTGGAATTAGGTGCAGCATATGTGTTTTCAGGCGCATATGCAGCACTTGCATCAGAATATGTGCTCGCAGTTGGGTTAACACTTGGTGTGTAATTATATGTCCCCATGCTAGTCTGTGTGTAAGAGGCATTATGTAATGTTCCCACTGAAGCATAACTTTCATAAGTTCCTGGAGCATAATTAGAAGTTGGCGGCACAGGTTGAACATAACTGTCACTCTGTGAATAAGTTGGAACCGTCTGGAATTGAGTTTGCATATAACAGGTCTGTGGGTATGATGACGGTATGGAAGGTTGTACTGCCTGCCCTTGAGAACTTATTGTTTGGTCATAAACATGATTTTGTCCCTGGCTGTAAGTATCAGCTCGTTGCATATACGCATTGCTTTGCGAATAACTATCAGCAGGTTGATAGTGTGGCAATGCTGAAGTATTTGGGGTGCTAACAACTGGATAATTTTGAGGTTGTGTAGTACCGTATGTGTAAGCGGGCGTTTGGTATGGATAATTTCCAGCATACATAGCACCGTAGCTGGTATCAGCACTACTTTTCCTGGTACTCGACGAGATCTCTTCAGGTTGTGGCTGATTGAATGATTGTGCACTGTAGTCAGTGCTTTGTGGTTGTTTGTAAGTCATCAACCCGGCCATTTTGGCACTTAAATCCTGCTCCATACTTTTACTATCATAAGACGTGTAGGGGTAGTTAGCATTAGATGTAAAAGTAGTCGTTGTTTGGGGCAAACTTGTAGCTGCTGTAACGTATGCTGAATTATTATAATACGGATTTAAGTTAGCAGATTGATTATAGAGGGGATAAAAACTTTGTTCATTTCCAAACGATGGCACTGCTTCAGTGTTCATTTCCGAACCCAATGGTGCGGGTCGCACGGCTGGAGGCCATTTTGGATCCGAGATATTTTTTAATGGTCCAGATATAACGGCGGAGTACGACGAATCCAACACTGGTACCGGTGATACATTATCGACTCTTCTTACATCTAGATTGTCGAGTTGTTTGGCTTCTAAGTAGTCTTTCAATTTTGGCCCCGTACTTTGGACGGTAGGCTTGTTTTGTTTCGCCAAAATTTGTTCGCGCTCTTCATCTTGCACCTTACAGGTGCTTTTGATACGTTGCAACAGTTTGGAAACATTGGTTTCAAGTTTAGTATAAAATTCGAGACCTTTATTTGCTTTAGCCAATAGGTCATCGTACGTATCGAAGGATACGTTTAGTGAATTTAGCATGTGCGCCCTTCTTGTTAACACGTCCTGTATATAACGTCGTGTAGGGGTAAATCTGGCGTACGCATCGACCAACGCTTTTAAGATATTGTCTTGCGCTGCCATATTCTGCTCTATCACTGCCGCCTAGAAAACACATAAAAAATCAAAAAATGAACTTATTAAAACATAAGCAGCAGAGAGAAAGACTTCTAGACGACTCAAATTGAAATGACTAAGCCAATCTTCTTTTATTTAAAACAATAACCCATAACAATGCACCTATTTAAACATTAAACTTAACATACATACCTGATTGCGATGCTTGCCAATTTCTTCTTCAAATAACTGCTCTTTGGTAAATTGAGGTGTGCAAGTAACTAAACGAGCTGTTATATCATCATTCTTTACCGCATCGTGGAACTGTGCCCACAACATCGCTCTTTGTTTTTTCATTTCGTCCACCTTTGCAAGCAAAGCTTCCATTTCGGTAATATGGTCTTCATTTATGTTGGCTAGAAAAGTTTTAATAGACCCAAGTGCCTTTATTAACGCGTTACTTACAATTCGGGAATTCGATCGCGGGTATCTGTTGATTTATCTGGGCTAGAGGGAGAGAGAGTATTTTCAAATTTGCACTATGCGTTGTCATAGCCTTGTGCAAATTTTGGTTAGACTCGCAAGCTTTCGAATGGGCCTCGTGATATTTTGTGTATTCTCGCGTTAGATCGGTAGCGATTATGCTCGGCGGACGAGAGCCCAGTTGCGACTGATAATCCTTTTCTTTTTGCTCTTCCTCTTTTATCAAGGTTTCAATTTCCGCCAGCATCGATTCTACATCGTGATAAATATTGGAAAGTTGCGACATAGATTTCACTAGATCTTGAATAGCTGTAGGTTTTGCACTCATAGCTGCGGCCCTATCTATTACATCCTGAGTGATACCACTAGCTTGTCGCATCTAAGAGACAATGTTAAATGAAGACTCACAGCTAAATGTTTACCTGTGAAAGTCCATCTAAATGCAGTGATGACATGAACGCAGCCAAAGCTTTGTCTTTGTTTTCGACTGCTTCACCCAGATTTCGAAGTAAATTGGCCTTCTGCTCACTGTATAGTGACGATGCTTCATGAGCCTCCATTGGTATCAATTTTGCAAAAATATCAGGGCCGGATACCTAAAATTTGAAATAAACGCCTGGATGGAAGATAAAGCGCCTTACTTCTGTGTCATTGACGCTAAACGCAATTCCCTTCACTAAAGAGGCTCCCCTTACTTCCTGTAAGGCGTCCATCTCTGGCACCTCTTCGTGGTATATGAATTCGTTTTCGTTCTTGGCCGCTTTCTTCTTACCTTCAATGACATCAGTGGTAAATGCCAAAGATTCACTTATTTCCTATCAAATCAGTCAGTTTAGTAATTGAAAGACACTACATGAGAACGTTACTGGTTGATTAGGCAGGTCTTTAGCCTTTTTATATGCTTCTTGTAAAGTGTCCGATGCGGCTTGATAAAAAGCCACCCGTTCGCCCATTTTTTGTTGTTCTTCCGCATGCTCGCCTTGATACAACAAGGCGATAGCCTTGTGATATACAATCTACAACCTAGCAAAGTAGTATCGCTATCCAGCCTAGGCCAAAGTCTACCTTAAAATTGATATACTTGAGCCAGTCCTTGTAAGTGCGGCTGCCAACCAAATCACTTAAGGAACCATCTTCTGTCGACTGTAAGGTACTCAGGGCCTGCTTATAGTAATCAACCACTTGAACAACAACTTTAGCTGAAAAAAATGATTCAAGTAATTCAATGATCGCTGTCCCTTTTTTGTAGATCTCATCAAGACACATCTTTTTTGTAATTAACATTTTTCACTATGATGCTTACTTTTAGAGAAAAAATGCAAATTTAGAAAAATAAAATAAATAGTTTCACTTTTCAATTCAAAACTTCTCAAAAATAAAGAAACTCACAAAAAAATTGTAATGAACTTTTATGTAGAGTTTTTTACGCCATTTTGGCCAATGTATGCGAAAAAAATTTTCCAAGCTGTTATGACTCTTTTAAACTTTTGACACCATTAACAACCATGAAAATGGTTACGGATCCAAACCAAAATAGGACGTTTTCGATTCCCCATACCTATACTTTCTTAACGGAACGAGGGGAAACGACGTTCTGACACTTTTCTTAAGAGGCTTCTATACCCGTCGCTTAGTTTCTCAGGGGCCTGCGGGATGTAGATGAGGAGGCGGTACTGTAATTCGCAATATCGTTTCCGTCCGTACATTTTCGTATGTAGGTACGCATCTTTCCCTTCCCATTCCGCGCACACAATATTCAGATTCACTATAATCAACAACTCAAACAAAACAACACCTATTTCAACAACACCTAAAATAAGTGTTTTTGGGTGTTGTTGCTAATAGGTGTTGTTGCTATAATCAGCATCGATTGAAATCCGTCAATCAACGCCAATTAATCGGTCTACACCTTTTCCACTTTTATTCGAGAAGTTGTAAATTGTATTTGAGAATTGTTACTTGTATTTGAGAAAACGTCAAAGTAGATGAGAATAGTCAGTTGGATTTGAGAAAACATCAAATGTATTTGAGAACAGTCAATTGTATTTGAGAAAGTATCATTTAATTTTATTGTATTTCAGAATGTAATATTATTCCTAATGAATTATAATAAAAATCAAATTTTTATAATTCCGCTACTGTATGTAGTCCCGCAACAGCATCAGGCTATGTTATACATGTGATTTTGTTTTTCTCATTTTCAATTGATTGTCAAATGCATTTTACCATTTCTTGGATACAATTTATTACTACTCTCAAATTCATTTGATACCTTCTCAAATACAAATCACTATTCTGAACTACATTTGTTGTTTTCTTAAATACATTCTACTATTCTCAAATACAATTGATACTTTCTCAAATTAACTTGATAGTTTCTCGAATAAAAGTGGAAAAGGTGTAGTATACCTATTCACGGAGACGCATTTTCCTTGACTAGAACAATGGGTGACTGTAGAAAAGGTGAGCTGAGGCCACGTATGAAAGAGGTAACAAAATTTCGATTTCGATGTAGCACAAAGCGCCCGCGCCGCACCGTAAGCAAAAATGGCAAACTGATCTAGGAGTACTAAGACTAATTTTCCTCGAGTAGTGAAGGGGTGTCGTGTCGGCACGTCAGGTGGATAAACAATTTAATTGGTTTGTTACTTACGTAACTTTCGTAAATCGTAATACCATTGAATAATAAATCTGAATTTATTATTCAATTGTAATACTGACCAAACTGATGTAAGGGCATTGGGGTAAAAAATGATCCCCCACTTTTGACGAAAATACACGTTTTGAAGCACCAGGAATCCGATTCAAAAAAAATCTCGATTATGTCGGTCTGTCTTGTCCGTCTGTACGCTCATGGACGCCTGAACCGATTGGAACCAAATTTGGTACCCCATTCACCAGGCATGTCAAACACGGGAGCCGCGGGCCACATGCGGCCCCCCGTTCTGAAACCTGCGGCCCATCACGATTTTTGTAAATTATAACATTTAATTGTACCTACCGTGTGTCCTATATTTTGGTTGAGAGTGCAGTGTCTCTCAGCTGTTTTTAAAGATAGATTTGCGGTTTTGTGGAATGTATAATACTACAAACAGAGCCAATCTAGCTGCGTTAGATTCTGAGATACAAGGTTAAAACGAAATGTTTCTGAGATTTGACCCAAAGTTGGTATTTAGTAAATGCAACACTATGTATATCTTAACGTCAATTTCTTATCATTCCTTTTCCTGATTACATTGATGTATCACAACCTATTTTTTTTTAATTTTAGCGATGAGACAATAAAAACCTTATTTTTACTTCTTTAAATAGTAGGCCATGGATTCATGGAGATTTTGTTTTGTTTATTGTCTCCATTGTAACTACAGCGGTCGATGTCAATCAACAAAAATGGCTGACGGTACACGCCATTTCAAAATTTTGAAAAATGGTAAATAAATATAGAATGATACACTAATGTAATCACGAAAAAGAATGCAACAAAGTTGATGTTAACATACAATACAAGGTGTTGCATTTAAAAAATATCACATTTGGGTCAAATCTCAGAAACTGTTGTCCAAATTTTTTTTACTACGTCACTGGTTTCTACGTAAAAATACCTAAGATAGGCAGTTTTTACTTTTTTTCTATCTTACATGGGTAGTCAGATATGACAACATCACAAAAAGTCCAATTTTTCATATTCACCCTATATCTCAGACCTCAGAAACAAACGTAGTTGGAGTGATTCTGTTTGTGGTATTGTTTCACAAAAAAGTGGCACAGGGTCGCGAAAACCACAAGTCTCCTATCTTTAAAAGCAGCTGAAATACGATACACTGCCAACATAGGACACACGGTACATTTTCTTGAGTGCGTACTAATGATTTTATGATTATATGCATTTTTTTTTTGTATTATTTTGTATACTTTTTTGTTAATAATAAAAAATCAAAATTTTTTTATGTGGACTTTTTATGATGTCCGCAGCTATAAGTGGAAACTTTATAATGGCCCTTGATGATAAATGAGTTTGATATGTCTGCCGTACACCTATTCATAAACATAAAAGGAAGAACTGAAAATCTTTTGGACAGAATCCCGCATGCGCAAGTGTGTCAAATTCTCATTTCCGGCTAAACAGCTGAACCGACTGGATCCAAATTTGGTACCCATATTCTTATACATGAAAAGGCAGAATCGCACATGTACAGGAGTGCGGGTGGTATCTGTGCTAGCTACAGCAAATTCTTGGGGCACCGTTTCTGAGATTTGTCCCAAAGTTGGCATTTTTTTAATGCAACACCCTGTATATCTTAATAGCATTTGTTTTTCATTCTCTTTTCTGATTACATTGACAACCTATGATTTTTTAAATTTTAGCCATGAACCAAAAATAAAAACCTTATTTTTACGGTTTTTAAATGGTAGGTAGGATTTAGGGAGATTTTGTTTTGTTTATTCGATAAAAATCGCAAAGCAATGTATGAATTGCAATAATTTGTGAACATTTGAACATCAATCGAAAACCCCCAAAAGGAAGAAGAGAGGAATTGGCACTATACAGATACAAAACATCCTAAAATAAAACACTAAGTCCTACTATAAGATTTAAAGGGGTTTTTACTCGGGTTTTTACCTAGGGCAACATTGGGGAGACGAGAAATTTCAAAAGCTAAATACATATTTGATCAGAACTACTGTTTTAAAGAAATTTAGGTAGATATTGCACTTAGATTTTTTAATGTTTCAATTTTCAAATTGTGTGAGCCAACTTAATTTAGGAAATGGTTTAAATTTAAATGTATCTATGTACAATCTCTGTGACTGAAGAAAATCTTTTCTTACATTCCAAATTTTATTTTTTTAATATCATTTTAGTCCATTTGTTTTCAATTGAATAGATTTTTTTACCACTGCGATTCGACCGATTTGCAAGTAAAATGATTGTGCAACCTGTCACTTCGGAAATGGCAATATTTCACAAAATTGAGTGAGGTAGCACCCAAAACTATAATTTCACAAATGGTTGTTGGTACTTCGCACAACTAAGCGCAGCCTAAGCAACGGTACATCAGCGACAACCTGCAATAGATAGGTGATCTAAGAGCAAGGCTTTACTGTGCGTAGACAGACAAATGAACGGACAGACAGACGGAAAATCGGGGATAATATTTTGTTGCATTATAGCGTCTATTCACAGAGATTGAGATAGGAGATGTCGTACTTCCATTGTTGTACGTATTAGTAAGCTTCTACAGTGCCTACTTTCCTAAAGGGTTCTAGTTAAAACTCAAAGAAAATTATTTTGCTAACTATATAACTCCGGTAGATTTAAAATTATGTTGGAAAGATAAGAATGAACTCCTCCTTTTATCAAATGGGCGGTAACACGTAACTTAAGTTTGAATTCCGCAAGACGTGGCAGAGCACTTTCCTAATAAAATTTTGCTAGAATTTTACAGTTGCAGCGTCCCGGGCCGTGTCTGTTTACTGGTACATAATAAACTTTTTTCAGTTACTGTGAATGGATTTTACCAAAGGAAGGTTAAAGCTAGGATTGTATCGAATTTGTTTTGCTACCTTTTTTTTTGTTTAAGATCTACACCCCTTTGAATATTGTCTAAAATAGCAATTCTTTATCGCTCTGTATCTTATGATTTGAAGTTACTATTTAAAATACAATTCGATACAATCCTAGATTACACCTTTATAAACATAATAATCATTCACTTTTACCATTATTACATTTTCTTTACGAATAAACAGACACGGCGCGAAACACTTTTAAATAGGGTTTTTGCGCTGGTATAGAAGCCTCTTAACATCCCGAACGCCAGTGATGCAGGGCAAGGACCGCCCCAAGACAAATTTAAATCACTTGCTAATGTCAAAAGCTGGAAGAAATCGCATTGATCAAGAATGCTGCAGGACATGAAAACCATCTATCATTTGGAATTTTTGTTAATTATGAAATCGGTAATAAATAATGAGATTAAGACCGAAGTCAATAATTTTCCTATAGAATTCTAACACAAAAATTATATAAATATATGTCATACACTTAATTTATGGTCAAAAATATACAGGGTAAGTAAAAAGTCCCATAACAGTTTTCCTAATTCGTAAGGTAAATACCGGAGTAGTATAGAACAACTTAAGACTAGGGATGGGCGATAACTGTTTTCACCTATCGATAAGTATCGGGTACTTACCTATCGATATATTTTACTTATCGATATGCCGATAATTATCGAAATATCGATGGTTATCGATATATCGATAACTATCGAAATATCGTAGTTATCGATATATCGATAGTTATCGATATATCGATAGTTATCGATATGTCGATAGTTATCGATATAACGATAGTTATCGATATTTCGATAGTTATCGATATTTCGATAGTTATCGATATTTCGATAGTTATCGATATATCGATAGTTATCGATATATCGATAGTTATCGATATATCGATAGTTATCGATATATGAATACTATCGATAGGTATCGATATGTCGATAGTTATCGATATATCGATATGTCGATAGTTATCGCTAGGGATGGGCGATAACTGTTTTCACCTATCGATATAAGTATCGATATATTTTACTTATCAATATGCCGATAATTATCGAAATATCGATGGTTATAGATACACCGATAACTATCGAAAGATCGATAACTACCGCTATATCGATAAGTATCGGTATATCAATAGTTCCCGTTATGGCGATAGTTTTTAATATATAGGTATCGATATAATATTACCGATAATTTTTTTGAAAGCGTGTCTAAAAACTGCATGAGTTTACTTTTATATTTTGGCGAGAGCCCGACAAGACAAGAGGGCTCTTTTAACAAAATATGAAAATAACCGAATGCAGTTCTTGCAACTTTAATGGAGTTACCATATTAACTGTGCAATTATCGCAGTGCTCTTTAGCTTTCTACAATGCAATTACCGCTGTAATTAAGCGGTAATTGCACGCCTCATTTGAGAGAAATATTCGACGTATCGATAGTTATCGACAGGGATAGTTATCTTATCGAGTTTTATTAATAAAATCCATTTTCCGGTTTATTCTGGTGTAAAGTGACTATTAATAGTTACTCGACGTTTCTTTGCTACCTTTATCAAGAGTTTTTTTGTTAGATTTCGTAAATGTCAATCAATTGAAACTGTATATCTAAATTTGAAGTGTTCTTAGCTTTTTCTGTTTTTTTTGTGACTGGTCCTCTGTAACCATCAATCAGATCAGATACCGATACATAGGCCATGATTACACCCTTTGATTGTCTTCTTTATTTTATCTAAAGAGTAGCCATTTTGATGCAACATTTTGTTCAAGTTTTTGAAGTGCTTCTTTTTTTGAGCATTCGTCAGTAAGACGAAAAGATCTATTTTCTAAAGATTTTATTACTGCGTTTATTTGGCATGGATGATGATGTGACGTAGCGCTTCTCTTGAGAAAGGGAGCAAAGTTAGTTTCCGAAACCTCGAGCGACTAAAAATAGTAAATTTACACGAGAGTAAACCCGAAAATGGATTTTATTAATAAAAATAGTAGCGCTCGTTGAAATCTCAACAATAACATAATTTTATCGTACCAATAGTTATCGACATATCGATATATCAATAGTTATCGACATATCGATAGTTATCGACATATCGATAGTTATCGACATATCGATAGGTATCGATATATCGATACTTATCGATAAGTATCGATATATCGATAGTTATCGATCTATCGATATATCGATATATCGATAAGTATCGATATATCGATAGTTATCGACATATCGATATATCGATAGTTATCGACATATCGATATATCAATAGTTATCGACATATCGATAGGTATCGATATATCGATACTTATCGATAAGTATCGATATATCGATAGTTATCGATATATCGATTTTTTAGCTGTACCTATTGTTATTCGATATATCGATAACTATCGATACCTATCGATATATCGAAAAAAATTCCCATGCCTACTTAAGACCTTGCTTAAGACCTTCTGCAGAGGCACCTCTAAAAAAGCATTATGCGGGTCACTCTGTAATTGGGCGCAAGCCTGTTGAGGGCCCAGAACAAGAGAGGGATAATAAATAAAATAAATAAAAATAAATTAATTAAACATTTTTTTTTAAATAGGTAGGTAATGGGTGTACCGTGTATCCACTTAAGTTCGGAGCATATGGGAAACCATTTTTATGATTCACTTTACGAAAATAGTTATTCTTCATAAAAAGTTCTGCATGATGTGATCTGATCAGATTTTTTCAGTGGTATAGGGGGTATCTCAAATAATATAAATTTTATCAAGAGTAAAAAAAAATGGATTACTTATTATATCAAACATTATATCTGTTAAGAAACTTAAAGGTTATCAAATTTTTAATAACAAAAGAGTTAAATGTTTATTTGACACTAGTTTACAATATTATAAGGTAATGCAATTTAATAATCATTTCAGCATGATTTGTTTTCCACACTCAGAAGAACGAATATAATTGTATATTGAAGTAGTTGTGACTTCCTGTACAAGTTCAAAACGGTAAAATTCAAAACGATATACTTACCTCAAAGCAAACTGTGTACACCACATTAAATAGTTATTTATTTATATTAAATATTTTTACAAAATCAGAGAGAGCATACACAAAATGTAGGTATAGCGGGAAACTCCGTACAGCCTTCATAACTTATAGTTGCTGTGAAGAAACACAAATTTCAGAACTTTCCCAAACCATCCATTTTGGACGTTTGGTTTCATTTTAATAAATGCTTGTCTACTTAATTGTTACACCCTTCATGAGTAGTCATCCACATAGTGGTATCCTTATTAAAGGCATTACATTTAAATTACACACTTTACTTAAATTGGTATTCACTATTGAATAAGTAATCATACTTATTCAAAACTATTAAATAATCAGCATAACATTCTGCATAACTTTGCCCATATTGGATCTCTTGCGATTTACGAGATCCCATAGTAATACAATGGAAAAAAATCATCCTATATAAAGGTGGAAAAACACCAAATAATTGAAGATTAATGTAGGTACTTTACTAGCAATAGGTAGGTAGCTCTGTTTAGATCCATATAGTTTAGGTACCTAATGGATGGAGATAATACATGTAGTATAACATTGTGTACGAAAGGAACCACACTGCTGCAGTAATAGACTAACTCCTTAATTATTGGCATATAGGTGTTGTCAACCTACTCACTTACCAATAATGGCAGCTTTCCTGTTATCCATCATACTTTTTTCCAAGATACACTCTTGAGCTTGCGCGAAACAAATCAACTGCATAAACTGAATAACCTCAGGAGCAATTACTAAACTAACCATCTGAGGGTACTCCTTTCGCACTGTCTAAAACAGATCTTAGTATCAACCTTCCAATTTCCCTAATCCTACCTGAAAAGCCCATGCAGCACACTGAAAATGTGTACACGCCAATTTCATTCCCTCTGGATTTACTCTACTATCCTCTGCCCCTAACTTGGAGTGAACAGCTCCAATATCAAAAAGGATATTCATTAGCTCAAAGTCAATATCAGCCACCGAACAAACCATGTTAGAATAATTGTCCCGCCTAAAATAAACAACTCGTTGCACTTGCGGATAATTTTTCCCAAATACCAAGAAAAGTAAACAGCACAAGGCTGTCCGTCCTCCATCGGAAATCTCGACTTTAAGAAATGCAGTTGACAATAATACTTTTTAAGCATTTGACAACCGGAGACATCAATGGCTGGGCGTACTGCAGCCGAACGTAGCGTCTCCAAATTATGAATTTCAGTATTGTAGCCTTCAGGGTCTTCATGATAAAAACTTGATATATACTGAAACAAAATGTCAATAAACGTCTAAAAGTAGCACATAATACGAACGACACCTGCTTGAGTTTCGAAGAGAAAGAGGCAGCCTCCGTGCTGGTTTTTAAGTCGAAACTTATCATAGGCAATCTTGGTACAGCTTCCATTATTAGCAATTTAAAATTTCCGCCCCTTCTTAATTTAATTATTCAAAGTATATATCTAAATTTCCACCGATAGCACTTGTGTGAATTTTATTTATAAATAAATTACTAGTTTGTGTTCTTGCATTACGCTGTAATGTAAACATTTAATGACTAATTGCAACTGATAATTTAATTTAAAAAGTAATGAAGGGAGTTATCAACTGATTATATGTCAGATCTGTCATCTGTCAATTACATGAATCAAATTCAAAAAAGAAACAGGAAGCGATGTTGTCGATGTGATTGAAAACCTGCAAATTTAAAGAAAAGGGCAACAACGCCAGTACAAATTAAGTGGTTGATGTTATAAACTTGAATACGTTTAGAAGCAAAAGCGTTAATAGTATAAATTTCTAGATGTGCACTTTACTTGAAAACACAGGCCGTGTACTAACCACGATGCACACATGACATGCCCACTAGGCACTAATTAGCCTTGAATAATCAATTGAAGCTTATGAAGTTGGAGAAGGGGGAGGCCATAGCATCCCATACCATAGCAACAATCGTCTATGCTTTTCTGTGACTTTTTGCTCTCATGTGCAGTCCAGGTGTGACGTGCCTTCTGTCTGTTGGAATCAAACTGTAGGTACCGTTGGTCGTTGAGCATATGCAATGTCTCCGCCTCATTTATACAGTGCAAAAATGTTTGAGCAGGAATTGGAATTTGTTCTATAATTTAATTTGTAAAGAAAGCGACAACGATGGTGGATCACTGACAAAGGTCGAATATTTCCATTTATGGCGCTTCTGTTGCTCCACTTCAATTAGCGGTATTAATTTGTAAATTATCATTTGTAACTACTAGTTGACCAAGAAATGCATTTTTAAATGGAAACAATTAGGATTGAAAAACATATCAGAGAATTTAGGTTTCAAGTCGTTGGTGATATGGAAACACCCATGACCCATCCTTAGCCATGTGCTCTCTTTTGCATACCTAGGTATATCATTTTCGCATCGATTTCTATTCACATGCGTATTAAGCAAAGGTTAACCAAATGATCAATAACCCTACCAACGGACCTATAATTCATGAACAATGTTATTTTGATTACTTTTTTTAAACGTGAATGGTAAAACCACAAGTGGTCAAGAACAATGCTACTTATGCAAGTACGCAATGAGATTGTTATTATATTATTTAACAATAAATACTTTATCTACGTGGTCCATATTAATTGTTATGCTGAAAGAGTGTGTGATAAGGTCGATATTTTAGGTGATAAAGACCTCTACTGCTATTTGTTTATTATTTACTATAGAAATTCCCCAAACTAAAGAAAAAAATGCTGAAGTAATAAGTATTGACCGAATTGTCCGATATATCCTATAGACTTACCTACGACATGTCTCAAATCCGCACAAATTGTACTTATCATTTATTATTATTTTCTCCTAATGAACTTTTTTGAACATTTTAGGAGGCACTAATATCGTTGATATACCTACTACAAACCCTCTGCATTTCGGTAGAATGCACAACATTATAGACCGGGAGGCAGCGTACATAGTAACTAAACCATAAGCGACAAAAAATTCGACAATACAGGCTGAAAGTACGTTGAAAACTAATAATAAAATCACTCGTCTGCCAGTCGTAAGTGGCAGCATTAACTTGGGGCGGCGCTGAATAGGTGACTTCTTTAGGTGATCAACTAAATTACCAAACTATAAGGGTCACGGAAAAGATTTGTATCAAGAAATCCCATTTTTTCCATAGTTTTCAAATATGCTATGGCAGACGATTTCAAGTGCAGCGTTGGTAGCGAAAGACGCCCTCCAATGTAGGGAAAAACACCCCTGAACTAAACCATGAGGACCGTATAAAAATTATACATAAAAAATTCCTCTTTTTGTCACTACTTTAAAATATATCCTGGCAGGCGATATTAAGTGTAGCTTTAATAGTGGCAGACGTCTTAGAAGTTAAAAAATTTAGGTATAGTAAATCCCAGCGAGTGTGAGCGTGTGAGAGATAAGCGCGCGAGAGCACAACGAACAGAGATAGCTATAGATTAACGCACCGCTTGGAGTTACCAAACGAATTAAATTAGGAAAAATAATAAATTGTTTATTTCGCGATAAGATTGTCGGTATTTCTTGAATTCTTCTCAGACTGAGAAACAGAAAACTTGAAGAGAAAAGAAGATAGATATTCAGCTCGTCCTAAACTATCCTCTGACTCCAGTTCCGTTGTCTCTATGCAACATTGATGGATCGATGATTAAAATCGACAAGTTTGTTTTGCTGAAACTTTTTCGGAAGTATGATTTCTTCAAGTGCTCCTAGTCCATCGCCAGTTGTAGATGTTGTTTTAATCGATGGATTATTTTTTTTTGCATCTTTTAAAAGATCTCCGGTAAACCTTTGAGCGATTTTCTGAACACATCCTCGGCAAGATTTGTGCTGTGTCAGCGAGAGAAGTAAGTACATCTTACTTTTGACAGATAGTTACCCCTTCCATGAAGGACGCAGAACATGATCGTTGGGATCAAAATAAGGAAAGATTACAATCCTACTCAATTTCTGTTTCCACTCAGAAGCAGCCTGCAAATTTCATAAAACCACTTCGCAATGATAGCTCAAAGCCTCTCTTATAGATTACTTATACCGTTCATAGGCAAAAAAGACCTGTTGCGCTTTACTTGGAAGGAAAGTTGTGTTTGCCACATATGAAGATAAGTGCTATAAATTTGTGGCAAGGGAAGATGATGTGGTAAAAACTGAATTGTGCTGCAGCCACTAAGAGGCAGATTCTCGAATAATTTACCATCTTGGTAAACTACCAACAAGTAGCAAAGTCATTATTAGCGCTTCCGATATGGATATTGCTGTTATTGCTTTGGGAAATGTAAAATTGACGCTACCATCAAGGTATAGATGGAAGTAGGTCTCTTTTCCAATAACACGCAGAAATTCATAAATCTTCGAGAGATGTTCGTGAATTTGGGTGTTGATGTGTGTAACGCGCAGGGTAACGCGTTACCGGGTTCCCACGCATTTACCGGATGTATGACTTGTGTATGGTCCTCATGGTTTAGTTCATCGCAATTTGGGCGAATGCCACCGAAAAATGTCTGAGTTTCTACAATCCGTTTGATTGAAGTGGATGGAACTATGTGAATCAGAAGTTTAGAATCAAATGGTTTGAAAGATCTCAGTAGTCAGTATCCTATCGCTATCTCTGTTGGTTATGCTCTCGCGCGCGCTTATCTCTCACACGCTCGCACTCGCTGGGATTTACTATACCTAAATTTTTTAACTTCCAAGACGTCTGCCACTATTAAAGCTACACTTAATATCGCCTGCCAGGATATATTTTAAAGTAGTGACAAAAAGAGGAATTTTTTGTGTATAATTTTTGTACGGTCCTCATGGTTTAGTGCAGGGGTGTTTTTCCCTAAATTGGAGGGCGTCTTTCGCTACCAACGCTGCACTTGAAATCGTCTGCCATAGCATATTTGAAAACTATGGAAACAAGTTGTAAATCAGCATATGCATGATTAAAGCGCCTTTTTGGTCATGCAGGTCAGTATTTTACTAGCGAAGTTTAAAATTATCGATCTCACGAGTAATTTTGGCTGCGTTAAATAATTAATTTTATTTAATTTCAATTGACGGTACGTCTTCATTTTGTAAAACAAATCACAAAGTAAATAATAAGTTTTTATACTGGTAACGCTATCTAACGGTAAAATTATAGCACCTCCGAAACCCATATCGAAATTATTTTCTTCAATTATCGATCTCACAAGTAATCTAACTCAAAATAGACTAGTGCCTGCACATCTACACTATAGCAGAAAGATTTTAGTGAAAATTTGAAGTCTCTAGCTATTGTAGTTGTGGAGATCTAACGCGGACAGCCGGCCTGCCAGCAATAACGAATATAATAGCGTATTTTTTTCAAAAATGCGCTAAAAATGGGATTTCTTGATACAAATCTTTTCCGTGACCCTTATAGTTTGGTAATTTCGTTGATCACCTAAAGAAGTCACCTATTCAGCGCCGCCCCAAGTTAATGCTGCCACTTACGACTGACAGACGAGTGATTTTATTATTAGTTTTCAACGTACTTTCAGCCTGTATTGTCGAATTTTTGTCGCTTATGGTTTAGTTACTACACTGCCTCCCGGTCTATAGTACTACCAACGTAAACGATTCACCCATGGTACAATAAGACAAGGTATGCCTATGCGTGACGTCATTGGGATAACTTGGGTCTACCGTTCAATAAAGTAATGCGGTTTGTGTAGTCCTAATGTATCCCCTTTACGGATGTGATAAGATTTGTTCAATCCATGTCAACTGCGTCAAGTTTCTCACATTAAACTTACAAAGTATCAATTATTGCATGATATCAATACAAATATTGAAAGTTAGAATAAAATATGTAAGTAAAAAAAGTAAAAATTGTATTAGCGTTTTCAAATAAGGACGAGACCTCTAGCGGCAATAAAAAAAACTTAAAAGGCTGATTAAATTTCTGAAATAAGTATATTAAGTGGTACGTTTAGCTTGTCTGTTGCCTTATATTTATATCTAAATGCATTCCGAGATGGCACTTCTAATTCAAGTATGAAGCGTATGTCATTTACAAACTTGGCGGTGATTCTTGTGACGTCATTGGGATAAAAACGTCATCTGCGTTTAGTTATAGGCATACCTTGTCTTATTGTACCATGGGTACCATGGATTCACCGTCGTCAGCTTTCATAATACACATCTTGTTCTCTCAAAAATATGCAATACCATCGAATATTAGCTTAAGTTGTGGCGTGCCGTTGCATTGCTTTATTATCGCGTGGTATGATACGTCAGCTAAATAAAGAGACATTGAAGGTCATAATACTCCAAATATTAGTGAAGGGAAGAATAAGATTCTAAAAATTCATTTTGTAACGTCGATGTCGAAAATTACGCCGCTATTATACTAAGTAAGATACGAGGGTTGTCCAGAAAGCAGCAGACGTTTTGAAATAAAAAAGTTTAAGCTTGTAAAGAAAATATCTTATTGTATACATTTGGGTGCTACACTCTTGGGCTATTTATCAATACAAACGATATTCAAATTGGGGCACTTATCATAGTGTGGCGGTGGCAGAAGTGTTTTGATTCCAACTTTATAAATACGCCGCCTGAGATGTTAACCTGCACTGGGTAACGTTCGACGTCGCTATCGAACCGCTGCG